TGAACACACACATCCCATAACAAAAACCTTTCAAAAAAAAATGTTTCTTTTTTTCTCTCATTCATGAGAAAGAGGCACCCCAACAGAGTCTTAATGCCGCTATTTACCCCCAGTCTCAGCCAGGCAGGTGCACGTGAGGTGTTCAAGGAGGACCTTCCTGTGTGGGTGAGCCTTGCAGGTGTCGTGCTGCCCCTGTGCCCTCCCCCCCCTCTAGGCCTCTAACCCCCTGAATGGTTCTTTCCCTGCCCTCCCACCGGGCTGACCAGAGGGAGCCTCCGTGGGCCTCCTGGCTGCTCCCTCCCTGTGCCGCCCCTCTGCTCTCTGGCGCTGTTTTATCAACTCAGTTGTTTGGGTCTCCCAATATCCTGGGCTCTGCTCCTCACCCAGGGAGGCCACTGGGCCCCACCTGCATTTTCATATTTTCCTGTCTCACAGGGCTCTCACAGGGCTCCTTTGTTGCCTGATGGCTAGTGCATTGAAAGCCGTTGCTTTCTGGATATTGTCTGTTGTGTTAGGCAGGAAGGTAAATTCGATCTTGAGGAGTCCTGTGATGGGATTTTTTTTTTTTTTTTTTTTTAGTTTTTTGCCCTAGGGCACGTGCACTTGACAGAGAGAAAGAGAGAGACAGTGAGAGGGAAAGTGAGAAATCACTCCCTGGGAGGGATGACCGCACCACAATCCCTTCTCCTCCATTCTCCTCTGGGATTTTCGGCACACATGCTCTCCCAGCGTGATTTTCAAGCTGTTAGGCCCAGGATTATTCGAACTGTAGTCAATCATGTGGGTGCCCGGTGCCTAGACCACTATGCCACACGCTGCCCCCCACCCATAGAATCTTAACCAATTCCCTTGTCTCAAACTTTTCACATACATCATCACACCACCAGAATCCCTCTTCTTCCATTTCTCTAACACGTTGGGATTTGGGGCACACACACACAAGCACCTGGTGTTGGGATTTGGGGCACACACACACACAAGCACCTGGTGTGTTTTTCAAGTTGTCAGGGCCAGGATTTGAACCATGGTTAGCCATGGTAGGATCTGGCTCCCTTAGCCACTAGGCTGCAAGACCAGTCCAAGACATGACTTAACTGAAAGTGCAGGAAGCACAAAATATAAAATAGAAATCACTCCTCACCATTAGATGAAAGGTTGTTAGGAGACAGTGTTTTCACAGTACCAAAGTATCAGCCCCCAAATTATTTCTTTATTTTTTTAAGAATTATTTTATTTAATTTTATTTTAATTTGACCAGACAGAGAGAGAGAGCAAGCCACCAGGTCTGGGACTCAAACTGGTCAGACATGTAGGAGTCCAGTGCCCCCAACCACCATGCCATCTGCTAGCCCCTAGATTATCTCTTAATTACAAAGGAGAAAGTAGACATTTGTAATAGTTAGGGCAGCCACCAGCTCAAGTCTTCAAACTCGGCCACACAAAGAGCAGGAAAACCTGATGTGACGTGCTTGAACCATAACATCACCTTAAAGTATTGCCAAAATGTTTAATTTGAATATATTAAGACAGCTAAGGGATGAAGGTACAGGTAAACAATGTCATGAGGAAACAATCAGACTCAGATTGTGGGTCTTTCTACAAGACAAGTGGCTTTAACCTTTTAAGAGTCGGTTCCATGGAAAAAATAAGTGGGTGACCACTTGCTGTTAAAAGAAAGTAAGCCACGTGGTATGGTGATTAAGGCAGCTGGATCCCACATGGATGACCACATCCAGTGGCTTGAAAAACACACCAGGCATATGTATGTGCATGCCCAAAATTTTAGAGGAAAGTGGACAAGGGATTGCAGCGTGTTCATCTGCGCTAGAGAATGCTTTCTTAACTTTTCTCTCCCTCTCTGTCTCTTTAGTGAGCGTGCACACACCACACAGCAAAACAACAACAAAAAGGGAAATGACGTCGGTGAAATGATGGAGTAGACAGCTCTAAACTCTAATCCTACAACTAAGAAACATTAATAAAAACAACCAAAAGATGGAAAATGTCAGAATCAAGGAATCTACTAGGATGGCTATAATTTTTCTGAAGAAACAAAAATATAAGTTCTGGTGAGGATATGAAGAAATTGGAACTTTCATATGTTGCTAGTAGGAATGTCAAATGGTGCAATTGCTGTGGGAATAGTTTGGCTGTTTCTCAGAAACTTACCTCAGAAGTTACCATGTGATCCAGCAATTCAACTCCTAGTTATATACCAAAAGAGTAGGACACAGAAATCCAAACAGGTACTTGTAACCAGTTCCCTATTGCATTATTCATAATAAGCAAAAGATGAAAACAACCCAAATGTTCATCAATAGGTGAGTGAACAAACAGTGTGGTGTGTGTACATACAATGGAATACTATTCGGTCATAAAAAGAAATGAAGTTGTCAGGCCAGCAGGTAGTGTGGAGATTAAGGCACTGGATCCCCCATGACCAGCGTCATGGTTCAAGTCCCAGACCTGGCAGCTTGAGTGTGCATGCATGCCCCAAATTCCGAGAGGACAGTGGAGGAGAAGGGACTGTGGCTTAGCCATCCATTCTGGGGGGTGATTTCTCATTCTCACTCTCCTTCCTACTTTGGTGAGTGCATGCTCCCTGGAGCAAAAACTATAAAAATAAATAAATAGGGTAAGTTCTGATACATATGAACCTTTTCTATAAAATACCTAGACTAGGCAAATTCATAGAGATGTGGGGTTACTAAGAATTGGGGGAAGGAATAGGGAATTATTGCTCAATGGGTACACAGTTTTATTTGGAGGTAATGAAAAACTTGAGAATGGATGAAACAGCAAATTTTGTTACATATATTAGCAAATTAAAAACTTCAGAGACTTGTCAAGTATATTTTTAAATGTTATGACCAGAGGGCATCTGTGCTTGCCAGAGAGAAAAGGGATAAGAGAGAGAAAGAAAGTGCTCCTTTAATGAGTGTGGTTATTCCACATTCCTTTTTTCTCCTTTCTCCATCCTGTCAGGATTTGGGGCATGAATGTATAAGGTCAGCTTGTTGCAAGCCACCTGGGCTGGAAATTAAACCACAGTCAGCCATGGGGATACACAGGCAGGTCTGAAAGCATTTAATAATAAATACATTATGTTGCTTTTCTGACGACAGAGAGAGTGAAGATACTTAACAACCAAGTGCAAAGTTTGACCCTTCATTCGTTCTTCCCTTAGAAACAAAATGCTCTAGAAGATATTGTTAGGACAAGTGGGGGAAATTAACTAAAGATAGGGCTTTACATGTTAAAACACTATTACTTTTCTATGGTGAAATAATGGTGTTGTATTCATGCTTTATTTTTTTATTTTTACATTACAGAGTTTTATGTGACAACTGTCAAAGAAATAAGGGAGAAATAAGTCTGTCTTGTTTTCTAGTTTTTTGCCATAGGGCATGTGTGCTCGGTGGAGAGACAGAGAGACAGTAAGAAGGAAAGTGAGAAATCACCCCCTGGGGGAATGGCCACAACACCCCTGGAGAAGAAACTCCTCCATTCTCAAGATTTTGGGCACACACACACATGCAACCGGTCTGATTTTCAAGTCATTCCATCTGGGACTTGAACCTCAGTTGCCAGGTGGGAGACCAGCTCTTTAACTATTACACCACCTGCTGGCCCCAAGTTTTAAGAATTTAAATCAAGTAAACATGTTGCTCTTTGGTTAAAATAACAGTAATAATGCCTAGCTCTGTTGCTTGGTGGTCGAGGCAGCCAGATGCCCCATGGCCAAACCATGCAGTTTGAGTCCCTGACCAGCCACTTGAGAAATATGCTGGGTGCATGTGCATGCTCCAAATCCCCAAAGGAGGGCGGGACATAAAAGAAGGGATTGCAAAGTCACCATTCTCCATGGGGATGTTTTCTCCTTTCCTCTGTCTTTCTCTGCTGCACTCTCAAGCAAAAAAATAAAATAGTAAGAATAGTGATGCTGTGGTCGTATACAATACACCATTTTTCCAAGACACATACGGTGTGAAGTTTTATAACTGTGTGCCCTTCTGAAGCTCATTGTGACCCAGGATCTTTTTTTATATTTTAAGAGAAATTTTTGCTATACAGTGCATGCACTCCCCCAGAGACAGAGACAGAAAATGAGAAATCACCTCCCAGGGTTATTGGCCATGCCAATCCCTTCTCCTCCATTCTTCTCTTGGCATTTTGGGCACAGACATACACCTGGTGTAAATTTCAAGCCACCAGGTCTAGGATTCGAACTGCAGTTGACTACATGGGAGTCCAGCTATAAAACCATTGCCATCTGGTGGTCCCATGGCACAGGGTTTTAAATGCATTATGCACCCGGATCAAAAAGTTCCTGTCTACCCACTAGTGGATTCCAGGAGGGCTTCATAGAGGGAGCAACATTGAAATGGAGACGTGAAGCATGACTAGAAGTCACTCACACTCATTTAACACAGGACAGAAACATGAGCTCTAGAGTCAAATTGCTGGGTGGTCAATGACCTTGGTCAAGTTGTGTAACCTCTCTGTACCGCAGAAATAATCGTCTTAAGACTCAAAACAATAGACTTAAGAGTTTATCTTTATCCCTAGCACATACTGCTGAATTTATTGACTACTACTACAATATGCTAGGCTTGACGTCGAGTCATAAGAAACAAGACCTACCCACAGTCTGCCCTAGGTGTTGTCCCTTCCTCCACTCCCAACACTCCTGGTATTAAAATAAAGCTTTCTTCCAAAAATGTTTTTAGTTCCTCTCTCTTTTTGTCACCTGCTCCGGAGTCCAGGCATTTCTCAGAGTCTCCCTTAGAACTTCAGAGTCTACAATTGCGAGGACTGCGATCTCCGCCCGGGAAGCCCGAGGATCACAAGCCCTGACCCCAGGCGGCGTGCAATAGAGCGGTCACCCTGAGGCCCCGCCCCTGCGGAGCTCGCCTGCCCGTACGCCCCAACGCGATTGGTTCAACCTCCCGGCGTGCCGGCACCCCTGCATCCAATCGGCGTAGCGCTTATTGCGCGGCGCCGGCAACCGACGTACACAGGGGCTTGAGCGTCCTGTGGAGTGCGGGAGGTCTGGCCATGAACTTGGGGTAAGCTGAGGCGAGGACGTGGTGGTCGGTGGACGGGCGGGGGCTGAGGCAAGGCTGGTCCTAGAGCCTTTTCCGGAGAACGTTCCAGAGCGGCGCCGCCCGACGGCAGCGCCCCGCTCTCGGAGCCAGAGGGGCGCGCTGGAGGGCCGAGCGCGGACCTCACTTGTCCCCTGGTAACTCGCCGGGGGCCGATCGTGAACCCCGGCCGGCCCTAAGGACCCGGCGTGGGGGCGCCGGGGTCGCTTGGCGGCTCTCCAGGAGGGAATCCTGGCCCGGCCCGGGTTCTTGGCGGCCCTTGCGTGGAGTCCTGCCCAAGGCTGCCCAGATTCGTTTAACGCCCGCCGGGCGACGATCCGCGGCTTCCCCGAATCCGTGTGGGCCAGTCCCGGGTCCGATATATAGAAAGGACTGTTGCGTGCTTTTTTCATCCCTCGGAAGTTTCATGTTTCAAGAAGGTGAAAAACCACGACATTCAGGATTAACTGCACACCGTTCGACTCAGGAATATTACGTTCCAGAATGTGGAGAATAGGAATAAATACGGCAGCCTGCCCCTTGGCTTACAGGACAAGCAGGACAGATGGTGGCGATTTCATTCTTCAGGGTCTTTTCTTTGTTTTGTTTTGTTTTGTTTTGTTTTGTTTTGTTTTGTTTTTGATGGCTTCACCAACATCAGCTGCTCGTAATAGAGAAACCCTTAAAACCTACTCTTCTCACTGTTGTATCTTTTATTATTATTGGAGAGATTTTTTGCCTTACAGTGTGTGTGTACTTGTCTGAGAAACAGAGACAGGGAAAGTGAGAAATCTCACACCCCTCTCACCCACCCCACCCCACACCCGGGGATGGCCATGCCTCAGTCCCTTCTCTTCCATTCCCCTCCTGGGACGTTGGACACGCGGGCACACACGCCCAGTGTGATTTTCAAGCAACCGGATACGGGACTTGAACTGTAATTGGCCTTGTGGGAGTCCAGCGACCTAACTGCTGCACCATCTGCTGGTTCCCAGTGTTGTATATTTAATGAGATCATTTGATTTTCCCCACCTGAATCGCAAGTTTCAGGTTCATAGACGTTTCCGACCTCATTCCCTCAACTGCTCTACTGGATTAATTTTCTCTCTTGGACTTCATTTTTATTCCTGTCGATGTGTATCCCCATACACCTTTTTTATCGCCTTTTAGGAACACGGAGTTACTCTACCAACTGGTATTTTTATTTTCAGTGGAGTTTTTATTTAGGACCTTAATGGAAGTGCAAATCTTGTCAGGGTCTACTGTTACTATTTTTGCATACAAGTATAAAGTATTTTAGCTGCCGAAGTTTATTGTAGAGGTATTGTTATGGTAATAAAAGAGTCACTAAGTGGAAATATGTAGTATTTGAAATTAAAAAAAAAAGTGGAGGGTGGCCAGCAGGTTGGTGTGGTGGTTAAGTCACTGAACTCCCACATGGTGGACTTCATGGTTCAAGTCCTGGAAGTAGCCGCTTGCTTGCTGTCATATGCGCGTGCTCTCGAACACACGTGCCCTGTAGCAAATTAAAAGAAAAATAATAATAAATAAAATTAACTCTTTAAAAATCAAAGCAGAGCTCTATGCTCAGGCGTTAATAACTTTGGTGGTACTGTTACAGTAATTTTCAGTGTGGCACTTCATAGAATGCGGTAGTAAGTGGGTTACATATGTCTTGCTCCTTTAACTTAGCTGAGGCATTTTGGTAACCTTTTTTCCCAGTGTAGAGTAAGGAGTTAAGTGATGGTATGGTAACAATTTATTGCTTACCAATAACAAAAACAAAATATTAGGTTAAAGATGGTAAATTGTATTATTGAAAAGTTTTAAGAATTCTCTCCCTGTAGTATTAAGTTTTCTCTTGGATTGAATTAAAAGAGTGGTTTGATATGTACAAGATTCCTGTATAAATTCCAGGAACCTGTTTACTTTCAAGATTCACATGTGTATTGCTGGGTATTTAAAATGTCACTGTTTCTTAAAACTGACACAACTTTCTTTTATATTGCAGAGATGGTTTAAAGCTTGAAACTGAATTACTGGATGGAAAAACCAAGCTAATTTTGTCTCCATATGGTATGCCGTGTAACTGGAAATCTAAACTGTTATCTTTTAAATTCCTACATAAAGTTTATATTAGCTTAAAAGGCTTTTTCCTTATAATAGAGTGATACTTACATGATATCTTGTGAGAAAGTGTTTCTTTAAGCTTCTTCAAATATATCACTACTATGCCACTGAAAATGTCAGTTTCCAGATTTTATATAAATTCATGTTCCAGTATATGTCATATGTAATTTATCTGTTGTATTTGCATAGAGGAGATATCTTTATTGCCCAATGAATAATGAAGGTGAAATGTAATTATGCTATTTGCATGTAAAGAATATATTGTTTGAGAAATTAAATTTATAGTAAGATCTCAATTATAAAGTCATGGTAGTCTGACTTTTGAAACTCAGTATACTTTGGTAGTTTCTCACATTATTTTCCTCCTTAAAACTGTTTATTATTTTGCCTTGGAAAGATTACCAAGCTAAATAAAAATGAAATTGAAATGCATATTTGTACTATACTGTAAAAGTTTAAACACTCAGACAGGATCTAAAGTTAATTTGGGGGATACTATTTCTACCTTAAGATCTTAAAACAATAGTAATTAAAATTTTCTTTCTTGACTGTGTTAGTATGTTTTTGGTTCATAGTTAGTAATTTTTTTTTTCTTTTGTAGAACATAAATCAAAAATTTCTGTGAAGGTAAGCCAAATGACTTTGACCTGACCTGTTTTCAAATGTAAAGTGCAGGGTTTGTTTTTGTTTTTTTCATAGTGATTTGAAAATAATTTTGGGAAATTCCAAGCACTGTAAAGGGGGATTAGAGGGATGGTGAGAAATTATTATTCTTTTGTTTTCAGGCTGGTCCTTTCACAGAAATGGAATCATAATTTTAGTTTTAAAAGTCCTGTTAGAACCTGTTTTTCTAGACCAGTGCTGTCCAGTAAAGTTTTCTACAGTGATGGAAAGGTTCTAGAATCAATACTGTTTGATATAGTAGCCACTAGCTGTGTGTAGTTTATTGACCACATTAAATACACAGTTGATGTGAGTCATGAACTGAATTTTGAATTTCATTTAATTCTTTTTTTTTTTTTTTTTGTGGAGAGATTTTCACTGTAGGGCATATGCGCTCACCAGACAGACAGAGAGAGACATAGAGACAGAAAGCGAGAAATCACCCCCCAGGGGGGATGGTCACGCCACAATCCCTTCTCCTCCATTCTCCTCTCGGGATCCTGGGCACGCACGCACACGTGCCCGGCGTGAGTTTTAAGCCACCGGGTCCAGGACACGAACCGCGGTCGACTACGTGGGAGTCCAGCGACATAGCCATTACGCTAACTGCTGGTTCCCGATTTAATCCTTAATTTAAATTTAAAAGCTACTATTCTGGACAGTACAGCTCCCGAGGTTTTTAAAAATAAAACAAGAATTTCTCTTTTCATATTCTAATTCCATTTGCCCAGAATTTGGGCAAATTTGGTTTGGTATTCTTACATGCACTTAGCATCATTTAAAAGATTACTTGAGGTTGGGACCAGCAGTTAGCATAATGGCTATGTCGCTGAACTCTCCCATGTGGCCACAGTTCGAGTCCCATACCTGGTGGCTTAAACTCACGCAGGGTGCGTGTGCGCGTGCCCAAGATCCCAAGAGGAGAATGGAGGAGAAGGGATTGCAGCGTGGCCATCCCCCCTAGGGGGTGATTTCTCACTTTCTGTCTCTCTGTCTTTCTGGCAAGCGCACGTGCCCTATAGCAAAAACCTCTACCAAAAAAAAAAAAAATACACAGATTACTTGAGCTTAATGGTAATTTCCCTTTTAGTTTATTTTCTCTTACCCGGAATCCATTGTGGCTTTTTCTACAAAGTATGTTATGACTGAGAAAAAAATGTTTTAAACAGTTTTTCCTGAGAAAGAGGGAGAGCAAGCAGGAGCAAGCATGTGCTTACCCCTCAACAGGTAGTGATGCTGCAGTCTACCTCCAGCCTTCAGCAGCATATGCAGGGAGGTCTCTAAAACTGAACTGGGAAGCTTCCCATGTGGGTCAGCCAAGCAGAGTGTCTCCGTTTACCACTGTGCCATCATCTAACTCCACTCCTCATTCTGTGGGCCCCCCCTCTTTTTTTTGACTCTTCACAGTAGACAGATACCGAATAGCCATTTGTCAGTCTCTCTAATCTTACAGTTCTACAGCTGTATTTCCGATTTTTTGTAAAATAGTGAAGGGTTCTCCCAATGTAGGATTAACTCCGTAGTGACCAAAACACCAACAATTCTGTTTTCTCCATTTTTCATAGACTGCATTACTTTCATTTTCACAGGGAAAATGAAATTCCTTTCACAGTCTTTAAACATAGCTGAACCAAATATCTCATTATTGTCAAGTTTAACACATATAGTCTGAGTGCTTTCCTAATTCTTTCAAAATGTCTCCTGCATTTTCTCTAATCTGCAGTAATGAATATGAACTAAAGGTGGTTATTAGCTCAATTTCTTGTATTTTATAGGAAGAGAAATGAAAGAAATACCAGTGGTTCAGTGTCAGAAATAATTTACAGAAATACTGGATTCTAAAACTCTATACTTAAAATAGTGTCAAAAGTTAGATGAAATATAAAACACTAAATTTTTTCATGGTTATTTCTGTCGGAGAATCAATGGCATACTAAAATACATAAATAATATTAGTGTTAGGTAACACATTTTATATTTTTAAAATGTTACTTTTCTTTGGTTACTTCTGGCCTTGGCATCCTTGCCCCACATAATTGTAGAGCCAGTCAATATTAAACAAATACATTGAATATTGTTTTTATAATATTTCGAAAACTATTGGTAGAATTAAAACCTGATAAAAGCAGGATGCTGGAGTCAGCATGTCACATAGTGGTTAAGGTGCTAGACTCCCACATGGCTGACTAGGGTTTGAGTCTCAGACCCAGCAGCTAGAAACTCTTGCCTGGTGTGTGTGCATGCATGCTCAAAATCCCAAGAAGAGAATGGAAAAGTGATTGTGCGTGGCCATCCCCCCTGGGGGGTGATTTCTTGCTTTCTCTCTCTCTAGCAAGTATATATGCCTTACAGCAAAAAACTCTCTAATAAATAAATAAAAAGCAACATGCTATATAAAATGTTTTATGACATGTTTGATCTATTGGAATTTATCTAATCCAATAAACACTCAGGAATCAGTTTGGGCTAGGTTGCTTTTATTTACTTTGTAACCTGAATATAATTTTTTATTTATGAATTTTTGCTGCCTCCATTGATTATTTCTGGCATTAAGCTACAAAAAGTGCCCAGAGTTGAGCTTAATGTATATTGACCCCATGCCAGGTCATTGCCTTTCTTTATTTTAAGAAGACTTTCCCTGTATATTTTTTCTCCTTTTTTTTTTTTTTTCCTCTTAAATTCATGATAGAGTTTGTGTATGTGAGAAAGAGATAGGCATGAACACTCTCCACAGTCTGATCATACTGCAGCCTGCTCCCTCCAGTCCTCTAGCCTGTGGAATCTTGGACATTCCCACGCATGCCAGCTTTTTTCAGTCTGACTGGTCTGGTGGTTTGAACCATGATCGATGTGATCGATGTGGGACCTGGTTCCTTTTGAGCAGCATATTACCGTTACCTCTATCACAGAGCCAGCTTTTCTTGGTTTTGTTTTTAGTCTGAGTCTCACTGTGTCATGATCCTTCTGATTCCCAGGTAGCTGGAACTACAGATGCATTCTACCATGCTCAGCTACTTCAGATGAGGTCTTACTGTGCTGTCCAGGCCCACCCTGAGATCACTCTCCTCCTTTGTTGGCCTCCCAGGCAGCTGGGACTACAGGCATGTGCCACTGCACCAAGCTTTTAGGGTGGGCCCCTATTGAACCCTGTCCTCCCAGAGGGCCTCAGAGTGCTGAGCAGCATTATCTTACCAGTACATGCCATTGCAGCTGTCATTTATTTTATTTCTGATGTAATTAGACTATGGCAAAATAATTCTAGTTAATTTAGAACTCCATTTAGATTTCTGTTTAACAAGGATTTACTGTACTATAGTTGTAAAATTCTAGTGTAGGTGCAGGGCTCCATTCTTGGCTTTATTTGTTCTTTGTAAGAGAAAAACAAAACTGTATGTTTCCTGGAAGTGGGAGCACCAGTCATATAAGTAACTAAATACTACAAGTAGAATAAAGTAAGTTGTATAGTAGGGTTATATAAAGGAGAAAAAGCATTTAAGAGAGTAGTTCTTTCAGGTTTGGGGAGACCAGGGAATGTTTCGTAAATGGGGTGATGAGATAAATTGTCAAAAAAAGATAGGGAAGTTTATTCCAACTTAGAGAAAATACCAAAAAGCCAAGATAACAAAGCATGAGTTGGATTTGGGGAATAGTCTGTATCTCGAGCACAATGTAGAGTGTAAAATTTAGGGGATTACAGTCATAAAGAGTTTGAATGTGTGCGTGAGAACTTTGAATTTACGTGATTTGCATGTAAGGAGTCATTAAGGATATTTAAAAATGGAATTAGATATGTTCTAATTTGTATTTTTAGGAAAAGGTTTTTGGGACTGCTTTTCTCAAGATGAATGATTGTAATTAGTTAAGATCCATAGGAACTAGTTAAGATCCAAATACAGTGGTCCATGTAGAGTGTTAGAAGGTCCTGATGCCTGTATGCTTTCTATAGAGGATGAAAAAAAGGAAACAGAAAGGAAGCTTTCAAGGTATGTCAAGGGAATGCACTGTATTTAGTCAGCAGGTGGCATGGTGGTTAAGGTGCTGGAATTCCCACATGGCCGGCCATGGTTTGAGTCCCTGACCTGGCGGCTTGCTTTCTCTCTCTTTCTCTCTCTCTCTCTGTCTTTCTCTGGCAAAACTCATGTGAAAAATATGAACAATAATAATAATAATAAATAAATAATTCTTTTAAAAAATTAGAAAGTAGATTTGTGAAACCTATGACCGTCATGTAGCATTAAGAGCTCATTTCATGCTTGCTTTCTCACTTTCTCTCTCTCTCTCTGGTCAAATTAAAATAAATGAATAAATAAATAAAATTAAATAATTTTTTTTAGAGAGCTCATTTGATGGTCTTGGTTAAAGTGAAACCAGTTGGCATGGCAGTGTTGTTTTTCTCCTTGGTTGCAAACACAGAATAGGTGAACAGTTGGATTTTATTAGAGTTGGGGTTTGCAATGTGTGCATGCTGTAGAGCAAAGTAAGGGCGTTCGAATGGAAGAGAGAGATGGTTTTGGTTAGTTGTGGGATTTAATATTGTTGGCAAGAGAGAGATGATAAGACTGACGGATTACAAATCTCAGCAGAGTTAAAGAATTGTTGAAATTGGGATATGAGAGGAAGGGAGTTGAAAAAAAAAAATCAGAGATGGTAGTCATTGCCGAGTTCTTCAAACGGAGAGAACGGAGGGATTGCAATTATGGGTAGTAGTTACAAGCTTAGTACAGTGGGAATGAGTCACAGCACAAAGGACAATAGCCTAGGAGCTACATTTGAGGACATGTGAGGCCAAGGTTCTGAAAAAAGACTACCCATGTGGAAATGAAAGTACCAATCATTAAAACAGTTATGTTAGAGAAGAGGATGGTGGCTGACAACCTAAGATGCTCACAGTAACTTGTGGGTATATAGATGCTTGTAATGAGTAGTAGTGGGAGGGGTGGTACGATCTAATGACATGAAAATCTAGATGGGAATAAAATGGCATTGTCAGTTTCTGTATTCATTATCCTCAAGTAAAATAATTGTATCTAGGGACCAGCAGTTGGCGTAATGGCTATGTTGTCGGACTCCCATGTAGTCAACTGTGGTTCCAGTCCCAGACCCAGTGGCTTAAACTCACACCGGGCGTATGTACATGTGTGCCCAAGATCCCGAGAGGAAAATGGAGGAGAAGGGATTGTGGCGTGGCCATCCCCCCCTGGGGGTGGGGTGGGGTGATTTCTTATTTTCTGTCTTTCTGGCGAGCACACATGCCGTATAGCAAAAACCTCTCAAAAAAATAAAAAAATAATTGTATCTAGTTGGTAAATCTATCAAGTGAATATTTGTAAAGGTTAAACTTTTTTTACAGCTATGTTATCTAAATGGCAAACGGGACATTTATGGGAGTGCTTGTCATACATTACATAAATAAAGATTTATTGATTTTTCATGGGCTATTACAAAAAAAATGTAATTCTGGTGTCTTAACAGATGGGAAATAAGATCAAGGTTGCAAAATATCCTTTAAGAACAAAACAAAGTGGACACAATCTAAAGTCAACACAAGATACTTGTTGCGGGTCTGAAAAACTTTTGCAAAAGAAGAAAGGTGATTCAGAAACATCCCAGGCAAAAAGTGAGAAAAATAGAATGACTTTTTCACCCACTAAGGATTTGTGTAAGCAGTGTGTAGATAAAGATTGCCTTCATATCCAGAACGAGCTTTCACCTGGAACCCCTAATGTACAGAAGACCAGAAGCCCCATGACTACATCTCTAGTCGGTAAACAGAAGTCTCACAACAAACACATCACGACTGAAAATATGAAGAGTAATTTGGTGTGTCTTACACAAGACCAGTTACAGCAGATCTTGATGACCATAAACCAAGGAAGTAAATCTGTTTTTTCAATGGAGACTGGAAAGGAGGAAGAAACAAGTAAGTTTTCTAAGTCTTAATATTAATTTTCTTGTTATGTGTTTTAGAATTTCATATTGATTGGATTTTATGTAACTGTGCCTCTTACATTCTAATTTACTGTGTAATTTTCCTTTAGAGGACTGTCTATAATATGCAAAATTACCTTTATACTTAAAATATGCCATGTTTTTGTTTTTGCTATAGGGCACATGCACTCAAGAGAGAGAGGGAGTGTGAGAAATCACACACACACACACTCACACCCAGGGGATGGCTCTGCTGCAATCCCTTTCCCTCCATTTTCTTCTTATGATTTTGGAGACATACAAACACACCTGGTGTTTTTTCCAGACCACCTGGTCTGGGGCTCAAACTGTGTAGTCAGCCATGTGGGAGCATGCTGCCTTAACCACCACACCACCTGGCTAGCCCAATATGCCATATTTTGAGGTTAATGCTCAAAATATGCACCATAGCCATAAGAAACTCAATTTCTGTGAACTAGAAAAAGAAATGTTAGTACAAAAAATTATTGTAGTTTTTTTAGAATGTTAAGAGGCTTGGGACCAGCAGTTAGCATAATGGTTATGTTGCTGGACTCCCACGTAGTCGACCGCGGTTCGAGTCCCGGACCCAGTGGCTTAAACTCACGCCGGGTGAGTGTGCGTGCGTGCCCAAGATCCCAAGAGGAGAATGGAGGAGAAAGGATTGTGGTGTGGCCATCCCCCCTGGGGGGTGATTTCTCGTTTTCTGTCTTTCTTTCTCTGTCTGTCTGGCAAGTGCATGCACCCTATAGCAAAAACCTCTCCAAAAAAAGAAAAAAAGAGGCTTTGCTTACATTTAAAATAATTACACATATAAAATATTCTAAGGCAGACTTCCTGACCTGGTGGTTAAGGCAGCCAATTCCACATGATGAACTACGTGGTTTGAGTCTTGGTCTCAGAGACATGAAAAACATCCTAGGCACATGTGTGCTCATGCCTAAAATTCTGAGAGAGGGAGAGATGTAGGAGAAGGGATTGTGGAGTGACCACGCTCCAGAGTGGGCTGCTCCCCGCAACCCCACCATCTCTGGTGAGCATACATACCCTCTAGAAAAAAAGAAAGAAAAAAAAAAAGCACCAGTCTGGTATTTCTAGTAAAAATTAAGGGAAGCTTGGTATGAAGATTTGACTTGAGTTGCAAAAGAACACTGCTTTCCTTGCCCTTGAATTTGGTCTTTCTGTCCCTTAATCTATTCTAAGGATTGACAGTGCAATTTTTTTTTTTGGATAGAGGTTGTTGCTTTAGTATGCGTATGTTTGCTGGGGGGAGAGAGAGAAAGACACAGACAGTGAGAGGGAAAGTGAGAAATAAGTCCCCCAGTGGGGCTGGCCACACTGCAGTCCTTTCTCCTCCATTCTCTCAAGATCTTTGGCATGCATGCATGTGCACCTGATGTGAGTTTTAAGCCATTGGGTCTGGAACTCGAACTGTGGTTGGCCATGTGCGAGTCCAGCTGCATAACCACCACACTATCTGCAGGCCCCAGTGTTATTTTTTAAAACAATGTACAACACAAACTTGAAAGGAGTATAGAGTGTTATGTGCTTCTGTTTTACAAGTTAGGGCATTGTCTTATGTTTTTAAAAGCCTTCTAATTTCATCTTTGAGCTAAGGAATTTTGAATATGAGAACAATAGAATTGTCATTAAACTTCTATTAGCCAATAGTGAAAAAAATTAAAATCGAGAGTCTCCATCAAGAGGCTTTACAGTGGGTTGGGGGCCAGGTAACTAATACATTCCCAAAATGTTCAAGATGGAATCATTTACCATTTCTTGGGTCTGATTATTCGTAGTAATCTGAGGAAGCTGTCTTGGGGCTGGAATTCTAACTCAGAGAACAGAGAGTAACAATGTTTCTCAGCCAACAAAGTTAAAAGCAAAATTTCCCTAGTCATGGAATGACCTACATGTTAGATATGCTTTCTCATTGAAGGAAGTAGCACATTCAGGATGAATTAGAAGAATTGCTTTCTCCTCATTGAGAGAAGTAGCACATTCAGGATGAATTAGAAGAATTTTTGAGCCAGCATATGGCCCTAAATAAAACATTTGATTTAGATGTTTTAGGGTATTTTTAAATTATTATTATAATTTAGTTGGAAATAGAGATAAAAGTTCTTGAAATCGTTTCCATTGATTTCACAGCCAAATGAGGAAAATAAGATCATTATTTTCTCATTGAGAGAAGTAGCACATTCAGGATGAATTAGAAGAATTTTTGAGCCAGCATATGGCCCTAAATAAAACATTTGATTTAGATGTTTTAGGGTATTTTTAAATTATTATTATAATTTAGTTGGAAATAGAGATAAAAGTTCTTGAAATCGTTTCCATTGATTTCACAGCCAAATGAGGAAAATAAGATCATTATTTTGAGGGCCAACAGGGTGCCACAAGTGGAAAATTCTACACTTGGCCTTCTCATGTGATGTGTCACAGAACATTGCATGTAGTATGAAAATAGCATATAAATTACCTTTAGTCTGTATGTAAGGTGTATGTGAGACAGATGAATTTTATGTTTAGACTTAGGTTCCATTCCCAAGATACCTCAGTATATATATACACGTATTCCTAAATCAAAAAAAAAAAAGAAATCTCGGTCCTAAAACACTATGGCGTCAAAGCATTTTGGATAAGGGACACTCTGTCTCTATCTATCTAAATGGATTGTTGTGAGTTAAGAGAAGTAGTGAACATAAGACTTTTTTTTTTTTTTTTTTGAGACGTTTTTGCTATAGGGCGCGTGCACTAGCCAGACAGACAGAGAGAGACAGAGAGATAAGAAAGCGAGAAACCACCCCCCACACACACACAGGGCGGAGGGCCACGCCACAATCCCTTCTCCTCCTTTCTCCTCTCGCAATCTTGGGCACGCACACACGCGCCCAGTCTGAGTTTAAGTCACCGGGTCCAGGACTCGAACCGTGGTCGACTACATGGGAGTCCAGTGACATAGCCATTACACTAACTGCTGGTCCCAGTGAACATAAGACTTTTAAAAACCGTGTAGCACTATACAAAGATAAGGTGTTATAATAGATGTAATTTAGCATTAATTTTAAAAATGCATTTTTTACCTCTTAGGTCAATATAATCTACATTTAAACACTATTCCTGATCAACCAAAGGATGAGAACATTATGGGATTATTCCACAAAACTGAGGCTGTTTCATCTCCCACAGATGAAAATAAACCTGTCCTAAGTAAAACTCAGGAGACATCTACGCAGTATGAGCAGAAAATTGTCATGTATGTAACTCTTCTGTGTTGTTATGGGTCATTTTGGGAATATGATTTGCTTTTCTTTGACTTACATGTGTAACTGTTACTCAGAAGACTTATTACTATTTAAAAGCTGCTTCTCCCCCCCCTCCCCTTTTCTTTTCTTTATTATTAAAAGGACAGCTTTATTGCAATTCACAAAGCAAAGGGAGCAGGCAGCTCATGCGGAAAAGAGCCTGTCTCCCCAAGGTGTTTCTCACATGACTTTTTTGTTTTAGGTTTTTGCCATAGGGCACAGGAGCTTGACAGAGAGAGGGAAAGTGAGAAGTTGCCCCCCAAGGAGGGATGACCACACCACAGTCCCTTCTTTTCCATTCTCCTCTTAGGATTTTGGGCACACATGCATGTGCACCTGGCATGATTTTTAAGCTGCCGGAGTCTGGGGCTCCCAACTGTGGCAACCATGTGGGAATCTAACACCTCAACCACCATGCTAGCTGCTGGCCCCCAAAAGTGTATTTCTTTATATTTGTGCAGTCAGTTACATAGCAGTCTGTAGTTAGATTTCTGTTGTTGGGGCCAGCAGGTATCATGGTTAGGGTGCTGGGCTCCCACGTGGTTGATTGCATTTCAAGTCCTAGACCTGGCAGCTTGCTTTCTCACTTTCCCTCTCTGATAGCTGTAGCAAGTTTAAAAATAATAATTAAATAAATAAAATAATTTTAAAAGGTTTCTTTGTGTATGTGTGTTTTGCCTTAGAGAGAATGAACGGAAACCAGCTGACATATTCAGTACCCTGGGAGAAAGGGAACATTCTAGAAGTTTGTTAGAAGCAAAAAAAGCCCAGTGGAGAAAAGAACTAGGTAGGTAATTTTTATATTTTTTATTAAAGTTTTCTTGGTTTAAAGAATATATATTGAGGATGAAGTTTATCTTTAGGATGATATTATCAGAAATCTTATTTTATAATGTTTGACATCTAGGATAGTTCTCTAAACGCGTAAGAAGTACTGTGGTGGGCCAGCAGGCGACATGGAGATTAAGAGAGCTAGATCCTACATGGCCAGTTGTACAGTTTGAGTCCCAGACATGGAAGGTTGAAATACAGGCCACACACATGTATAAACATGCCCAAAATCTCAAGAGGAGGGTGGAGGAGAAGTGATTACAATATGTCCATTTTCTCTGGGGGGTGATTTCTCACTTTATGTTTCATCTCTGTCTCTCCCAAAGAGCACATGTGCCCTACAGCAAAACACTTTAAAAAATTTAAAAAAAAAAAGTTTTATGGTGTCACCACAAAAAATTCTTCCTATCCTGTTTTGGTACTTTGTGGTGTGTACCAAAAGCATTAATGTCACCAACAGAGCCCCGGTAAGTGCAAACAAAGATTCTTAAACTTTTTTGGGGGGAAGGGGGGAAGAGGTTTTCGCTATAGGGCGCGTGGTACACTTGCCAGACAGAGAGAGACATAGAGACAGAAAGCGAGAAATCACCCCCCAGGGGGATGGTCACGCCACAGTCCCTTCTCCTCTATTCTCTTGGGATCTTGGGCACGCACGCACATGCGCCCAGCATGAGTTCTAACCCCCCGGGGGCTGGGACGTGAACTGTGGTCAACTACATGGGAGTCCAGCGACATAGCCATTACGCTAATTGCTGGTTCCCCTTAAACTTTTTTATTTCCTGAAAATCCTTTTTCATATTTTCTATTACAGAAATCCTATAGATTTAAGGGTGATTTTATTGTAAAATGTGTTTCATTTTTAAAATTTTTTAAATAATCACACATTCTAATAGATGAATCAGTATATTTGAGACAGAAACAAGCTTATTGCTTTTTGTCAGCCTGTGGACCTTATAAAAGAAAATTTTATCATTTTTGTTAAGTCGTTTCTTAAAATTACCTGTTTAATTTTTATTTATTATTATTATTTTTAGATTTGATCACAGAGAGACAGAGAAAGAGAGGGAGAGAAAGTGAGAAAGCAAGCTACCAGGTCCAGGATACAAACCATGGTCTGCCATGTGGGAATCCAGAGCTTTTATCCACTGTGCCACTTGCTGACTCCTCTGTTAAGTCTTAAAGTTTTGTTAATAGCTAAGAAATGCCCATTACTTTTTTTTGTTGTTTTTTTGAGAGCTTTTTTCCTAATAGGGGCTGATAGCTCGCCAGAGAGACAGAAAGCAAGAACTCATCCCCCAGAGGGATGGCCACACCACAGTCCCTTCTCCTCCATTCCCTCAGGATTTTGGGCATGCACGCACACATGCCTGGTGTGAGATTTAAGCTGCCAGGTCTAGGACTTGAACCATGGTTGTGTGGGAGTTCATTGACGTAACCATTACTCCATTTGCTGGTCCCAGTGTCTATTACTTCTTAAACTAGACTTAGGGTCCAGTTGTCACAGTTTTGAAAATGTGTGATGTAACAGTTGGACTGGCTATACTGAAGGCATTAGATAGGTCTTACCCTTTAATCGACTAGAAATTCCTGTGAAACAGTTAAGCCGTGCTGGGATGGGTGTTCAGAACAGATAAACAGCAGAAATATAAAGTGAAGTAATGGAAGTCAAGGTAACAAGGATGAAGAAACTAGGTAGCAATGTAAGAAAGGCTCATATATATAAATAGAACAGTTTCACCTTTAAATACTTTTCTTTCAACACAGATTTAACTTACTGAAATACACTAAATTTCTGAAATAATATGGAGCTATTTAGAAATGACTGAAATATGCCTTTATGTCCTGAAAACATTTAACGTACTATGAGCAAAGCATATCACTTATTTTTTCTTTTTGGCCATAGGGTGTGTACACTAGCCAGAAAGAGAGGGAAAGCGAGAAATCACCCCCAAGGAGGGATATCCATGCCATGATCCCTTCTCCATTCTCCTATGGGATTTTAGGCACGCACACATACACACCTGGCATGATTTTCAAACCACTGAATCCAGTATTCTAACTGCGGAGTGGGCTATGTGGGATACAGTGCCTTAACTACCATGCCACCTGCTGGCCCCCAGAGCATATTACTTTATTTTTTAAAGAGGTTTTTGCCTTACGGTGTGTGTGCTTTTTTTTTTTTTTCTTTTGGAGCACATGCGCCCGTCAGACAGACAGAGACAGAGAGACAGAAAATGAGAAATCACTCCCCAGGAGGGATGACCACGCTGCAATCCCTTCTCCATTCTCCTTTCGGGATCTTGGGCACACACGCACACGCGCCCGGCGTGAGTTTAAGCACATGGGTCCAGCACTAGAACCGCGGTCGACTATGTGGGAGTCCAGTGACATAGCCATTACGCTAACTGCTGGTCCCTTACAGTGTGTGTGCTTACGGGGGCTCTGGGGGAAGACAGTGAGAGAGGAAGTGAGAAATCACCCCCCCATAGGGGGGATGGCCATTCTGCAAATATGTTCTTTATTCTCTTCCTGTGTTTGGGGCACATAGTGCCCAAGGCCCAGGTTGAGGACTTGACCATGGTCAGCCATGTGGGAGTCCAGTGACGTAACTGCTATGCCATCTGCTAGCCCCAGAGCAAATTGCCTTTTTTTTTTTTTTTTTTTAAGAGATTTTTGCTATGGGGTACATGCATGTACTCACTGGAGAGACAGAGAAAGCGAGAAACACCCCCCTCGGGATTTTGGGCACACAATTTATACATCTCTGGGTTTTGTACTTAAACATGTAGTGAAGATTTAGAGTTTAGTTTTAATACTGTCTATTAGACCTAAGGTTTTATGTTTTTTTACTTTTCAGAAGTAATGAGAAATGACTAACATTTACTGAATATTTATGTTGTACCAGGTCCTATACTGATATAGGCACTGTTATTAACCTCATTGTATGGAAGAAGAGGTTCAGGGGCATTAACAACAGTTCCTCCACGTCGCATAGCTAAGAAGTGGTTACACTTGAATTTGCCCCAGTTTTCTCTGACTCCAGAGCTTAGGTTTTAATTCTCTAAGTTATACCTGAATGAACATTATGGGAAAATAGAACCTCAGAATAGTTAATAAAATATAAAATTAGTTATTCAGGTAACATTGCCTTACTGATGATTATGGTAAAAATATTTTTACATTGGGAACCAGCAGTTAGCGTAATGGCTGTGTCGCTGGACTCCCACGTAGTCGACCGCGGTTCGCGTCCCAGACCCAGTGGCTTAAAACTCACACCGGGTGCGTGTGCCTGCGTGCCCAGGATCCCGAGAGGAGAATGGAGGAGAAGGGATTGCAGTGTGACCATCCCCACTGGGGGGTGATTTCTCGCTTTCTGTCTCTATGTCTCTCTCTGTCTGTCTGGCGAGCACACGCGCCTATAGTGAAAAAACCTCCAAAAAAAAAAAATTTACATTCATTTGTGCTATTCTTTTTTTTTTAAGAGAGGTTTTTGCTATAGGGCACATGTGCTTGCCAGAGAGTTAGAGACAGACAGAAGGCAAGAAATCACTCCCCACGCCGCAGTCCCTTCTCCAGTCTCCTCTCGGGATTGTGGCACGCATGATGCATATGCGCCTGGTGTGAGTTTCAAGCTGCTGGTCTGGGACTTGGAACCACCGTTGACTATGTGGGAACCTAGCAGTGTAACCGTTATGCCATCTGCAGATTCCCCATTTGTGCTATTCTTAAGTTTGGTTGTGATTAAATGTTTTCTTTTATTCTGTGTCCTTTAAAATTCTCTCTGCCTTATAAATTAATCTTCCTTAAAAAATCTTTTATTAGATCTGTGTCAGAATCTACCCTTTTTAAGGTCATGATTTGTTTACATGATTCTTTTTTTACAGTTTTTGTATATTTTTTAAAAAAGGACATTATTTACAGATGAACAGGTTGCTTTAAAGAAGAAAGAAAAAGAAGCTTCTGAAAAATGGAATAATCCTTGGAAAAAATCTGAGAGTAATAACATAATTTGGGAAAAACTTCAAATTCTTGACCAATCTAGGGTAAGAATATCAAAATGAAGCATTTATGAAACATAAGATATTTTAGTTAATACTTTTTAAAATGTTACCAGTTCTTATATAAAACATATTCTTAAGTTTATTTATATCAGAAAACCTTACTTCTCTTTTTTTTTAAAGAATTATTTATTTAATTTCGTTATTATTTTTTTTTTAATTTACTAGAGAGAGAGAGAAACAGAAAGTGAGAAAACAATCCTCCAGGTCTGAGACTCAAACCGTGGTTGTCCATGTGAGAGTCTAGCACCTTAACCACCATGCCACCTGCCAACCTAGAAAAATCTTACTTTTCATATGGTATTTTGAAAGAATTATTTTTAATTTAATTATAACCTCAACTAGTCTTCTGTTTGCATTCTGTACATTATTTTACTGCATTAGTAGGGGTAAAAGTGGTTCTCAGCACCTTCTTTACAGTTCCGTAAAGGAGCTTTGCAGATTTTTACAAGTTACTTATTTCTTCTATGAGAGAGAGAGAGCCACTGGCATCCCTTTATAGGATCTTCATGCTGCAGTCCACTCTCATCCTCAGCCAGCCTGAATCATGGGTATTCCCGTGTGGGTCTAATTGTGTTAATTACAGTGCCACCATCTGTCCCTGGAATTTTCTTTTTTTTTTTTTAAGAATTATTTATTTATTGGAACCAGCAGTTAACGTAATGGCTATGTCGCTGGACTCCTGTGTAGGCAACTGTGGTGCAGGTCCCGGTCCCGGCGGCTTAAAACTCACGCTGGGTGCCTGTGCATGTGTGCCCAAGATGCCAAGAGGAGAATGGAGGAGAAGGGATTGCGGCGTGGCCATGTCCCCTGGGGGGTGATTTCTCACTTACTATCTCTCTGTCTCTCTCTGTCTTTCTGGTGAGCGCACGCACCCTATAGCGAAAACCTCTCCAAAAAAAAAAAAATTATTTATTTAATTCTATTTGTTGTTATTTCTTAATTTTACCAGATAGAGACAGAGAGAGAAAGAAAGGGAAAGCGAGGAAGCAAGCCACCAGGTTCAGGACTCAAACCACAGTTGGCCCATTCTGCTAGTTTCCTAGTCAGGTTACATTGGTCCAGGCTGATGGGCACTCATTACTTAGAGCTAGTCAGATTTTAGAGGTAAGTCCTAATTGTTAGTTCTCTGAATATTTAAACCCTTTAGTACTTCAGTCTGTTTCTCGAAGGAGTAAATCTGAGTTTTCTATTTTTAATTGCCAGTTAACTCTGTATGTTATGCTTCTTAAATTTCAGATACATTATTAACCATTTTTTGAACATATTTATTCCCTTCTTATGAACATCTACATTTTAACAAATTTATTCTGAAAATAATTCAGTAACTGAGTAGGATAATAACTGATGTAGAACTTTTCAGCACTGTGTTCTAATTAGGTAGATTTATTATATTACCCCTCCAAGTTAGATTATTTGCATGACGGTCTATCCGGATGGTTTGTCTACATCAGTTTTGTTGGGCGGATGTGCCCGTGGGAGAGAGAGTCCTAGGGAGGGAAGGTGACAAATCACCTCCTCTAGAGGAGGGCTATGCCGCAGTCTCTTCTCCTTCAGTCTCTTGGGATTTGGGGCATGCATTCACACATGCCCATTTTTTTATTTTTTGAATTAGTTTATTTAACTTCATTTATTTATTTATTTATTTTATTTGACAAGAGAGAGACAGAATGAGAAAGGGAGAGGGAAAGTGAAAGCAAGCTACCAAGTTCGGGACTTGAATCACCATTGGCCATGTGGGAGTCCAGTGCTCTCAATCACCATGCCACCCTCTGGTCCCACCTATTATTATTTTTAAGCCACCAGGTCTGGGGCTCGAACTGCTATTTATGATATGGGAATCCAGCGCCTTACCACCATACCACTTGCTAGCCCAGACTATTGATAACTTTAAAATATAAATTGCATTTTTCCATGATTAATCCCAAAAGCACTTTGACTATATTGTTTATTTTTATTGCCAATGGGGCGGGGAGTGTGTGCCTGCCTGCCAGAGAGAGAAAGAGAGAATACGAGCAATAGAGAGTGCTCCCTACAATCCTTTTTTCTCTATTTTCCTATCCCGTCAGAATTTAGGGCATGCATGCATATGCTCTTGGTTTGTTTTTTAAGCCACCAGAGTCAGGATTTGAACCATGATCAGCTATGTGGAATCTGGCTCTCTGTGTACAGAATTTAATTCGTGTGCACAGGGGCTGACCTTTGACAGACTGTTAGTCAGTTCATCTTTTTTTTTTTTTTTTTTTTTTTTGCTATAGGGTGCACTCTCTCACCAGGAAGAGAGAGAGAGAGACAGAAAGCAAGAAATCACCCCACACACACACACACCCCGGGGAGGATGGCCACACTGCAATCCCTTCTCCTTCAATCTCCTCTCAGGATCTTGGGCACTCACGCACATGTGCCTGGTGTGAGCTTAAGGCACCGAGTCCGAGACTCGAACCGCAGTTGATTACATGGGAATCCAGCAACATAGCCGTGACGCTAACTGCTGGTCCCAGTCAGTTAATCTTGATAGAAACTATTTTGGAAAAAACTGCAGTTGTGGGTAATAATTTTAAGTGCCTGACATTTAGAAGTTGATGAATGCAAGAGGTCAGCACTTGGCATGATGGTTGATGTGCTGGGTGGCTCCCACATGGCTAACCACAGTTCAAGTCCCAGACCCAGTGGCTTAAAAACCATGCCACGTGTATGTATGTAGGTGTAAGCCCAAAATCCTGAGAGGAGACAGAAGGAGAAGGGATTGCAGCACAGCCATCTCCTAGGGGTGCTTTCTCACTTTTCTCCCTTCTTCTCTCCAGCAAGTGCATGTGCACTATGGTTAAAAAAAAAAAAAGTTGTAAGCAGATACTACTAAAAGCTTCAGCTGAAACTCACTTTGCATAAAGTTGGCGAAAATCAGTTGACTTATTTTTCAACATCAGAGTTGAAGAATCTTCAATGCAAAAAATGTAAAGTATTTTTCAGCTACCAGACTTTAGGTGGAAATGTTAGCATATATTATTCCTTAATTTGCATGACTTTTTAGGTTATTTATTATCTGGGAGTAATGCATGCCTTGATTGTTATACAAATGCAGAATTTGAGGTGGCTTGGTTTTATTTAATTTTGTGTACACATATATATGTTTATTTATTTATTTATTTATTTTTGAACACTAGAAGGCACATACATTCACCAGAGGGAGTGAGAAAGTACCTCCCATTGGTGACAGTGCAATCCGTTATCCATTTCTCCATCCTGTGGGATTTGGGACATGCATACACATGCACGTGGCATATTTTTCAAGCCATTGAGGACAGCATTTGAATCACAGTTGGCCCTGTGAGATCTGGCTCTTTTAACTACTAGGCTATAGGGCTGACCCATTTGTTTGCATATTTCTTTTTTTTAAGAATTATTTTTATTTAACTTTATTTATTTTAATTTGACCAGAGAGGGACAGAATGAGAAAGAGAAAGAAAGTGAGAAGGAAAGCCACCAGGTCTGGGACTCAAATTGTGATCAGCCATATGGGAGTCCAGTGCCCTTAACCACAATGCCACCTGTCAGCTCTCAATTTGTACGTATATTCCCAATGATAACATGTTTCTTGTTGGGGTTTTTTTTGTTTTTGTTTTTGTTGTTTTTTTTCATCAAAAAGACCAATAATGAGGCCAGCAGGTGGTGGTGTGATTAAGGCACTGGATCCTACATGGCTGACTCCACAACTCCATTGTTCAAGTCACAGACCTGGCAGGTTGAAAAATATGTCAGATGCATGTGTATGCGTGCCCAAAATCGGGAGAAAAGAATGGAAGAGAAAGGGTTGTGGTGTGGCCATCCCCTTTAGGGAGTGATTTCTCACTTCCCCCACTTCCTATGAGCATGTGGAGTAGGATCTTATGTGAAAAGCAAAGCTGTTTAATGAATTTAGATTTGGAGGTACACATATTTTTATAAACTTGTACTTTTTTTAGAATTAATTAATTAAATTTTTTTTTTGAGAGTTTTTTTTTTTTTTTTTCACTATAGGGCACGTGCGCTCACCAGACAGACAGAGAGAGACATAGAGACAGAAAGCGAGAAATCACCCCCCAGTGGGGATGGTCACGCCGCAATCCCTTCTCCTCCATTCTCTTCCCGGGTTCTTGGGCACGCACGCACACGTGCCCGGCGTGAGTTTTAAGCCACCAGGTCCGGGAAGGACGCGAACCGCGGTCGACTACGTGGGAGTCCAGCGACATAGCCATTACGCTAACTGCTGGTTCCCAATTAATTAATTTTTTAAAAATTCACTACAGGGCATGCTCACCGGAGAGTCGGGAGTAGGGAGGGAGTGAGAAAGTGTGCCGCAGGTCGGGGAAAGAGAGAGAGAAAGTGAGAAAGCAAGCTACCAGGTCTGGGACTCAAACTACGGTGAGCCATGTGGGAGTCCAGTGCCTTAATCACCAAACTGCCTGGTGGCCCTAGTATATAGTATCTTAATTTCAAATAAAAAAATAACTTGTTTGTGGAAGATTCCCATTCCCCCAACTTTTTGTCTCTTTAGTTTTCAGAAATGTTTAAAAAATGCTATGCCTTTTGGAAGTTGAACTTTTATCAGAGCAATAACTAAAGTTTATTTCTTCTTTAGTCGTTGAGGTGTATTAAATTTGAAGCAGTAATATCTCCATTTTCAGCAATGCAGTTTCTGCTTGTTGTCTGTATTTTCCAGCAGCCTTGACAGTTTTCAGAACCTTTCTCTTTAAAATCATACTGTTCTTTATTTCAGCCATAATCAATTCCTTTACAGAATCTGAGTGGAAACTCCTGCAGTTGGAGGAGCCTTCATCCCTTTCTTGACGTATACACTTCATCTGAGTCTGCAGTGAAAAAGGGTTCTCTTGGGGTGCAGCAAACTCAACTTTAGGGTCTTTGGCCAAGCACTTTGTGTCATGTCCACTTCCAGTTATTTCTGTCTCTCCTCAGCACTCAGTCCTTGCAGCTTGAGATCCCAGAGCCCTCTAAAAGGAGTGACCAAAGCACCTGGGTTTAATTGTCCATCCACTGTTTAATTTTATCAACCATTTGTTTTTCTTCCTAATTCAGTCTTTTTCGGGAAGATTAACCAAGTAGACCAATGGTTTTGAAGTAAATGTTTATTCAGACTAGCAGGTAGCGTGGTGGTTAAGATGCTGGGACTCACAAATGGCTGACCGTGATTCAAGTCCCGGACCTAGTGGCTTACGTCCTCCCTCTCTCTGTCTCTAGTGAGTGCCCTGTAGGAAATTTTAAAATAATAACAAATAAGATTAAGTAAGTAATTCTTTTTAAAAAAAGTATTTATTAAAGCATTCAGTCTCTGCCATCCTAGTCATGATTAAAGCAAACAGGTTTCTTTTTATCTATAACCCAGGATCTGACTTTGCACATTATGTCATATTCAGGTTTTAGCTCCTCCTGTCACAGCCACCTCTTCTAGTTTATCTGCTATGGGCCTAATCATTTCCTCACCTTAAAGCCAATAATCTTCACACATTACTTCTGTATCTTGAATAGGATCTACACTGACTTCAACATGCGTGCTATTATCTTCCAAAGCACGTGTTAGGTAAAAGATGCCATCACAAGCACTCACATGAAATAAAAAGGCATTTCCCAGGCCTTGCACGTTGTGAGCTCCTTTCACAAACTCCAGCAGGTCCACTCCATTTAGAAAGGCAAGGATTCTGCCTGCTGGTGTGTGATTGGCAGAGAAAGACCTTTTCATCCACATGGTACTCTGTCCTCATTAGGATCAGTAGTGCAGGATGGAAGGTGTTCTACTGAAGCTGAGTACTGGTTAATATATTGAAGAAAACAGGTCTCCCAACATTTGGCAATCTGTTTTCAGTGACATTCCATGTCTTCAGATGCCTGGGGATGGTTTAATTTCCTCACTCCCTTTTTGCTGGAGCCTTGCACTTGGACAGGCAGTAATATGGAGTTCCAGTGGCAGCCAATTTTTAAGCTCAAAGTAATTTTTTTTTTAACAAATGGCTTTTAAAATATTATTTAATATTATTTATTATTATTGTTCTTCAATTTGACCAGAGAGAGAGAAAGAGAAAGTAAGCTGCTAAGTTGGGGACTCGAACAGTGGTCGGCCATGTGGGAGTCCAGCACCTTAACCACTGTGCCACCTGTGGCCCTCAAAGTGATTTTTAAAGATTATTTCAGCCCTTTGTTTTGCTCTCCCGGGAAGATCTAGTTCTGTTGCAGCCCAGTGTCCTGCGAGGCCTACCGCCCACACGAGTGACTTCTCTCCCTGGTAGGCAGAGGGCATGCAGGTGACTTGTGTTCAGAGTGAGGAGGCTGCTGCTGTCTCAACTTGGGAAGCGTGAACTGATGAGAGGGCTGTTCCGGATGTGGCAAAGTCACTGCGGGGTGTTCTTACCCAAAGTTGCATATTTATACACTGCTCTCAGAGCAAATAAAATGAACCAGAAGCAGGCATCTGTAGTGGGCCGTTAGAAAAGATCCTGTTTTCAGTTCCGATTTACCAGTTACTGCCACTTGTGCAGCATGAATATTAGTGTGACTAGTGGTTCCTAACAACAACCTGAAGCTAGCCTAAGAATTACATTAGGACCCTGGAGTGTTAGAAACTCTGTGGGGAGGTGTATAGTGGGTTTCTATCAGAGTTTACGTTCAAGGCTTTAGAATGTTCTCAAAATGGGCATTTAGAAAAGGGGGTTTATGTAGGGAA